TCACACCAGCAATATGTTATAAATTAAGTCCAAAATGATAGTGGTCGATGCCCCGGTGTCGACTAGAACACAAAATTCTATACCCTCGATTGAACCCACAACCACCGAGGAACCCGCCGTCGCTGCGACCACTTTATGGGCTAGCTCCGACAACTGCCCAGGTCGGAGCGGCCATGAAGAATCACCAGAACACCGCACATCATACGCCGAATCACGAGTGAAGTCAATGGTGCGTTGTGGCGTATAAGGTGTGAGTGAGGGCCGAGCATGAGGGGTGCCGCGACTCACCTGTTTATGTCGCGGTGCGTTGGGTGCCCTGCGGTCCTGGCCTCGGGATCCGGAGGTGCGTCGACGAGGTGCACGGCAGTCGGTTGAAATGTGGCCTCGGCGGCCACAGTTAAAACACGTCACATCGCTGCGGGGGAAAGGCTGTCCCCGCCGCTGGTCTTCACGGCGCCCGGCGTGGTCGGGTGATCACTGGCCCGTCGCCCTGGTCGTTGCGAAGGCACGATCTGGGGAGCGACCGTCGTCCCCGCTGGCAGGCTCCGACGTCATAGCCGATGCGGTGATGGTCGCGTCCTGGTCGAGCATCAGGTGAGCATGGATGCTCCGGGCAGCTTGCAGTGAGCACATATCTTCATCATCCACGGCTTGGATGACAACGCACAGTCCACGCACCAGCTCCAGCAGCTTCTGGAGGACGAGAGCATCTATGGCCTCATCGTCCATGCGGGGGTAAGCCGCTCTTGCCATGGCGAGTAGTGTGGTACAGAACACCAATGGCGATTCTTTAGGTTTGCACTGTCTCTCATAGAACTGGTGGCGGGTAGCGGAAGGAGGTCCGTAGATATTGGACATTCGCCGAAGTGCTGCTTGTAGAGTTGCTCTTTGTCGTTTGGGAATAGAGATTAGCGCGGCGAGAGTGTCGTCATCAAAGGTGGCCAGCAGCGCCTGTAGCACCTGTGCGTCTGACTCACCCACCATCTCTTGATGGCTGAGGAAGCGACGCTGAAATGTCGCCCAGTCACCCCCTGTGGACGTGAACTCGCGGAAGACGGGCAGGCGTTGTTGGAGAGCAGCCGTCTCTTCATCTTCGGCTTGCTCAGACTCGATCCCAAACACGGCGATCGCTTGGCCTACGATGTCTACTGTACAGCGTCTCTGCTGTGATGGCGTGGCGTTGTCCGAGGAACTTGCGGAGGCAGTGTCGCGCGATGACGCGGCGTGCCGTGATTGGCTCTCAATGTTCCCAGCGTGCACTTGATTTCCGCTTCCGGCAGAAGCACGTGATCCTCCGGCGGGAAATTCGAATTCTTCCTGGTTCCCAATGGCGGGAACGTCCGCTGGCGGCCGGTCCACCCCGCCCGCAGCCCCCATGTTGATTTCTTCAAGGATAGAGACTGCAGCATGCAGCAGTTGGGCGAGACGGCCGTGCGAATTCCGGATCTCTTCGCCCGCGGCGATCGGCGGTTGGGCTGGCAGTTGGGCGGCCGGCTGCATGCTTGCATCTTCAGCGGCGCTCTCCGCTCCTGCAGGTGAGTCGGAGTTTTCTTCATCCGGGCCTCGCACAATGACTGTGCGCATTGTTTCCATGTTCGTTCTCAGCCACTTCTGACTCCAGTTGTAGTGTTGTAAATACTACAACACTGGGGAACCAGGGTCCTGCCTGTCAGGACCTATTCTCCCCTTGACCGCTGGAACACTGAGCCTTAGCTCTTAGAAGAGCTGAAAGGCTTGGTCCAGGGTCCTATCTTCTTCAGCCCGGGCTTCGGTCTTCGTGTGAGGAGAACTGGCGCGCGCTCCCCGCGCTCGCTCTTTTATACCCGTTTGTAACGGTCTTTATCCAATCCCACGCTCCCTCGTGGAACCCTCTGATTGGTTCTTTACAATCCGTGGTTTCGATCCTCTTTTAACTCATCTGACCCCTGGCCGTTGGTCTGGTGGGAATCTGTGTTTACGATCCGCTCTCACCTCTCCCTGACCCCGGGTCGTTGGTCCCAGAGCGGTAACACTGCATTGCCCCTCTGATACATAGTGGCCCCGCAGGTTACCGAATAGAGTGTCTAGCACCTCTACATATGTGTGCGCACGTCGCCGGTGTTGAGAGCGACAGCTGAGTCGTGTCGCAGCTGACGAAAAAGAGGATCACGTGGTGGAGCCGAGCAAAATAACGCAGGAGCGCTACCAAAACTTTTATTTCACCATTTATCGATGACCACCACCCCTGTGTCCTCGATAATGGTCACGGCCCGGAAAGATTGAGGCACAGTGGGCACGAGTCACAAGATGCATCCATGCCATCGGCTACATCGTATCGCCCAAAACGTATTTTTACGACCACTTGCACTATGGTCGAGTGGATTTGTCTCCGGTCTGACCTGGTAAAATAAAAATAGTTTAGCTTATGCGCATCAATTGCATGTACGTTCTCGTGATCACACCTGGAAATGTATACCGCCCTGAAGCTCTCGGGAACTGATTCGACTCCAGTAATCACCTAATCGTGCAATGATGATGATGATAAATGATGATGATGATCATGAGGATGATGATGCAATCATCATATTGCACGTCATTATTCGAGTAACATCAAAGGATAATTAACCTTTGAAGTTAATTGTGATTATAATTAATCATCCATATACTTTTAAGCAACCGCCATTCACCATTAAGTGGCGGTGACGTCACCACGGCGCTTGTGCCAGGCTAAGTGCACCTTTACGGCCACGTAAAGTGTCGAACGCTCGCTGGCAGGAGGTCACGGGACAGACCCAGGTGCCATGAGTTAACTGACTGAGATGACGCAGATGACTGTGCCCCCTACTGTGCCAACACACACAAACAGTTTGTTTAACGAGTTGAATCCCGACACACGGACGAGCGGCAAATGAAGACGCATCTCTCTCTCTGTGTTGGTATCCAAGAGCCGTTTTTGGTGCCGCAGTCGTTTGCAAAGCCGCCGTCAACTCGCGGGCAAGAACGGAAATCTGCGGAAGCGTTCAAAGTCGCTCAAAAAGAGCACTGGCAAAGACTCATTGCTGCAGACGGAGGCCAGACAACACTTTAATTGTGCCAAACCGCTCACAGGTGGCTCGTGCCAAATGCCTGCAATTATTAATTTAAAAACAAAAGAGAAGGGGAGGAGAGAGAGAGAAAAATTTAGCAACATTTTGCACAAAAAACTAAGTTGGCACTTCCGTAAATGTCTGCAAGGCTCACGGTGTAATGACTACCACATGGCCCTGAGAATTGCACCTCTATTCCTTTACTCTCACCCCCCCCCCCCTTAGGCCACGCGAAAGGGAAAGTGAGTTCTAGGCAAAAAAAAACCCACCCAAGTCTGAGCCATTACCGGCGACGCGGCACGTTCGTCCATTCGACGCGCGAGCGCGCGTCTTTGTCTTTGTGTGTGCGCGTGTGTCAAGTCAAAGTCGAGTCGAGTCGGTCGACAAGGGTACATCTGGGGTGTGTCCCGTTAACTTAATGCCAGCGGAGCCTTCGACGCTTCACGTGGTCTCAAAGTGCAGCTATCCTGGCACAAGCCCCGTGGTGAAGTCGCCGTCACTTAGCGGCGAATTGCATTTGTTGTGCGTGCACACTGTGCTCGGATCCCGGCGACCCGAGTTCGATTCTCGCTCATGACCACCAACATCAGAGACGATTATCTGAACTGGTCCTGGGTCGACTCAGCCTCAAATGAGTACTTGGCGCGGTGTGTAAAACATCTCCACTGGGGAAACAAAGACGGTCGAGCGCGGTGCTGGTCACCGACCACCATCGTGTACTGCAGAGTGGCGCTGCTACTCACTAACGACACTTATCCCAAAACGTCTGTTCAGGCTATACGGGGGATTTTTGTCGTATTTGTTTGGGGCGTTCGTGTGGATCTGTGGGGGTCTATTCGCATTGTTGAACGCAGAAGGACAATGAGCCACTTGTACAATTATACCCGGGCCGTCACTCTTCATTACTGTCGTCTGTCTACTGCACTTCTTAGCAATGTCTACTGGCAATGGGCAACTCCCCATGATACTAAATGTGTTCTAAAAGAGAACGGGGCTTTATTACAGGGCCACCCTTGTGTTATGATGATCTGTGTTATACACAGATCCCCCCGTGTAGCCTGAACACACTGTTGGGGGGCAAGTGATGTGAGCGAGCACCGATGAAGGTCGGCATTGTGGCACACAAGGGGGTGGGTGGTCAGCACCACGCCCGGCCGTCTTTGTCTCCCCAGTGGCGAAGTTTACTACACATCGCACCAGGTACTCATTTGAGGCTCAGTCGACCTCGGGGAGGCTCATGACCGGTACAGATTTAATCGGCACTGGTGTTGGCCGGGAGCGGAAATCGAATTGCGGGTCACCGGGGTTCTTAGCGCAGCGTGCTAACCGCTACACCACCGCTCCCCACACGCTCACACGGGTACTAACGTTCTAGTTTATTAAGGGGGGTGGTGGGTTGGGGGGGGGGTTGGGCCGTCCATAAATGACGTCACGCACCTAGGGGGGGGGGGGTCAAACATTTGTGACGATGTGTGACGAGGGGGGGGGGGGGGTTTGAGAAATGTGACGTCACATCAAAATTCGCAACTTTAAATAAATATAGACAACACCTTCTACTTAATTAAATATACTTTTTAATAAATGTTTCTTCTACAACATCAGAGTGCAGCGCCACATTAAATACGCACTGCAATGACAATAGTTTAAAGCGATTTGAAGCATGTTTTTTTTGGGGGGGTGGCAGAGCTTTGTCACGTCATATTTGAGGGGGAGTCTGACTTTTTGTGACGCCGTGTGACGATGGGGGGGGGGGGGTCAAAAATCTGAGCAGCAATTGCAGTTCTTCGGGAACTGCTGATGGTTAAACATGTTTTGCACAATGCACGACATCGGCTGCCCGTGGGCTGCAAGAAGCGTTCTGCGCGAGTGGGGGGGGCGAACAACTGCGGAGAGCGGTGGCGCAGCGGCGCGCGCGCTGCTCTCGCGCTGCGCACCAAAGCCGGCTACGACCCGAGTTCGATTCCCGCTCACGGCAACCACCACCAACCGCCGCCATTACCACCAGTCTGAGATTTAGCTGAACCGGTCCGGGGCCTCACCTAGGTCGAGTCGGCAATGCAAATGAGCACCCGGTGCGACATGTGTAAGCATCGTCACGAGGGAGACAAAGGTGGTAGGGCGTGATGCTCTTCGGGGTGGGGATTTTTGTCTTTGTTATTTTTTGTTGTCGCTGGCCACGGTGAGGAGTCGGCTCTCCACATCCCGACCGCATTTGTCTTGGCTTCGCGTGTTCCTCCCTCCCACCCCCCAACTCCACCCCCACCCTCCCCCGCTCCACCCCCCACCCTCCCCACTTTCTTTCCGCCCTATTCCCGCAGGATCCATCGCGTGCGCACTCACGCGCGCGGCACGTGACGCGTACCCGGGGTTCTTTGGAGCAAGGCCCCGGCTCGTTAGACATCCGCGGAAGCGTCGGGAAAGAGCAAGGAGAGTCGAGGTTGTGTGGGGGCCGACGCCCGCCTCCCCGCTCCCTGTGAGCGGGCGGGGCGCGGCGCTCACCCCCTCCACCCCCCCCCCTCCTCGTGGGCCGCCTCTCGCCGGGCCCCCGCCGATCGGGTGATCCCCCCCCCCCCCGCACCAGCGCCCTCTCTGAGGGACATAGCTAATTGGCTGGCTCACCACCGCCCGGGGTTATTTCGCACACGCCCACGTACACCATCACTAATACGAAGGCGGCTGCGTGCACGCGCGCGCCCCTGCAGGCGCTTGTTTCACCCAAACGCTAGCGCTAAAGCGGCGGTATGAATATGCGCATGCACCTCTGGGTGGTTAAGCCCTAATCCGCTTGCACACAAATGCTAGCGCTAAAGGGCTGCGCAAATTTGCGCACGCGCCTCGCCGTTAATGCTATCGTTGTTGCGCAAACACGCGCGAGCGTCGGTTTAACTCACCCCTCCCCTGCCCTAATATTCGCGTGGCATGGACGCGCGAGCGTCAGCGGCCGTCTATGTTTAAATACACGTGCGCGCCTCGACGTTAATGCTCTTCTTCTCGCGCAGAAACGCGAGAGTGTCTGCGAGCGGGTTTTTAAACGCACCCGGCCCCCGCCCTAATATTTGCATGACAAGACTGCACGGACGCGTGAGCGTCGGCGGCAGTTTATGGTTTAATACACGCGCGCCTCGCCCACACCCTCAAATTACCAACACCACACCGACGCTGCAGCCCTGCGCTCGCTCTCCCGCGTACACTGTCACTCACCCTTTCTCAAAATGCGTGCAGCTAACCTTAAATTTAAACCTCAGAATTGTCACCTCCAGAAATCAGTTCGGTATCTTGGCCACATTGTTGACGAATCGGGTATTGCGCCCAACCCAGACAAAACTGCGTGTGTCGGAACTTGGCCGACCCCCACCTCGGTGACTGAGGTGCGCAGTTTCATCGGCTTTGCATCCTACTATCGCCGTTTCGTTGCCGGGTTAATGTCAATTGCAAAACCTCTCCACGCGTTAACAGCTAAGAATCATAAGTTTCTTTGGGGGGAGGAGGAGGCGGCTACATTTCGTGCCATCCACGATGGATTGGTGAAAGTTCCAGGCTCGCAAAGAGAACTGCGTTTTTACGATTGGTTGGGTTTTACCACAAGTTTATCCCAAACTTTGCTGAATTTAACACGCAGGCTTTCGCGACCAATATTATTCATAATATAGGTTTTTGGGTCAGATCGCGTTATTTATAAATGTCATAACCCTCCACCATCCGACACGGCCAAACAGTAAAAAATATGTCACGTTTTCAAAGGACAAATTAATTGACTTCTTTAGCCCACCCGTGTGCTGAAGAGAGAATCAACGCATTTTAAAATTTGAGTAGTACGACGTTTAGCTGATAATTACAATCAGCTTCATCGGGCAAGAATGGTGAAGCTCTCCTGTTGCTTCCGGTCTTAAATAGAGCAGCATCAGGGTGACGTTCAATTCAATCTGGTGCAGTGATTCGAGGCAAGGAGAGGGAGGGTATTGTAATTATATAGATTGGTAATCATTCAAGTGTTATTCATTGGTATTTGTTTCTCTTATATGGAATTGTAATTGTATTTATTTGATAATACGCTTGCAGGCCGCACTAAGCCTGTAGTTGTCAGAGCGATTGAAATGATTTCTGTTTCTCTCAATTTCAATGGATTCTCTAATTAGTCTTGGCCAGTAATAATTCGTTTTACACAACACTTCAACGTTATCAAAATCAATTGAGTGTCCTTGTTGACAAGCATGCTCTGCCACTGCCGACAGTTGTGTTTGAGATAATTTAATGTTTCTTTAGTGTTCTTTTAGTCTTACACTGATGTTGTGTCCCGTCTGTCCAATATAGCATCTGCCACATAAACAATTAATCCGATATACACCTTCTGTTGATAATTTAGGCAATTCGTCTTTAGTGCCAGATACCAGTTTTTGAATTTTGTGCACTGTACCAAATATTACTTTAATCTTTTGCTTTTGCAAAACCCGGGCTAATTTGCCAGTTAGTCCTGAGATGTATGGAATTTTGATTGTTTGAATTGACTAAACCTTTGATGGATAGAACTCGCAAGGGAATGGGGAGGCGGCGGTGGCAGCCGCAGGAGTGACTGGGCGAGGTCCCACCCTCAAGCAGCGACACGAGTGAGGACCAGGGGATCGTCAAGGTAAGTAGCAGTTGAGGGCTGTCTCCAACTCTACAGAATAGATATTTTATAGGGAAACATTAGGTGACAGTATTATTATTATTATTATGTTTCCAGCGGCCGACCTGGGGATTGAACCAGGGCCGGTGGAGATGTCTGGGACCACAAGAGCATGCCAGGAGCGGCAGGAGCGGCAGGAGCGGCGAACCAAGCTGGCTGCAGCCTGGCACTGGCCAAAAGTGAAGTCTGTGGCCATCTGTTTACCGGGGTGACTGCTTGGCTGTCCACGGACATCTCCCACTGTCCGAAAAGGCGTTAGCAGGCGAGGGGTGGAAACCCCGGAGGAGGAACACGGGGCACTCTGTGAAGCAGAGTTGCGTAGGGGAGGTGGATGAGCCCCCTTCCCCCAAAGTGTCTGTGTGAGTCTCGGGAAAGCGGTCGGGACTTTAGGTGTGATTGGATGTGTGTGGGTGATCTTGTGTTTGTTCTTATTCGTTTAATGTTCTTTGTGGTAGTCTGCTACCAGGTTATAACGCCTCTGCTTGGAGTGGCCGGTGTAAGCTCGGGTAAAAATAAAAGCTGACATCTCTAACAGCCAAGTCTTTGAGTGGTCTAACACCAGCTCGATGCGATACACCCCAACCGTCAGCCCTCTGTGAATCGGCAACATGACAAACTCCGGTTAAACCATCACACAAACTGCGGTTAAACTATCACGCAATCCCTGGTTAAACCATCATGCAAACTGAAGTTAAACGATCACGTGCACTGTGGTTAATCCATCACGCGAACTCCAATTAAACCATCACGCGAACTCCGGTTAAACCATCACGTGAACTCCAGTTAAACCATCACGGTAAATCTGGTTAAACCATCGGGGGAACTCGGGTTAAACCATCACGTGCACTGTGGTTAAACCATCACGCGAACTTCAGTTTAACCATCACGTGGACTTCCTCGCAGTCGTTTTTGGTTAATCACTGAACAAAGACGGTGGTTACCACATCGCTCGCTTTGTGGCCCTCTGCAACGCTTTTCTTTCTGATATCAGGAAGCCACTGGAGCTATGCACTTTCGAATCCGCTCGATTCAAAACTATTTTTTTTATAACTAAAGTTTTTGTATTTTATTGACCTTCCCCCCCACACCTCCGATCAGCACGATTGGCTATGTAAGATGCGAAAGATGTTCAACATACATAGTAGTAGCATTATTTGGCGCAATGCGCGATCGCCACTACTCTTGGCTTGTAATACCGGCCCCGTGTCAATGGGGAGTGGAAGAAGGGCCGAAGTAGATTGCCCGGATTAAGTCGGGTCATTGGGCTCTGGTGACTCCCAGGGAGGCTGGAGATGCAGACTCCAGACCCTCAAGAGGGGGCTGGGGGGGATGACATCACACTCCAGGTCCCTCTCGAAGGTTCGAAAAGGAAGGCATTACTAGGGGCGGAGAGAGCTGGGACTCTGTATAAAAGCCGGACCCCTGAACGGGTCCAGCTGTTGTTGTCCATTTGAAGATCCGAAGATCCCACCCTGAAGACCTGGAGCTGGGGCAGGACCCGAGGACCTTGGCTGGGTCGGGTCTGAGTTTGCCCCGTGAATAGGACCCAAGGACCTTGTCCGGGTCTCCCTAGACCCCATTAGCCAGAGGACCGACACTAGAGCTGTTTCCCCAGTGTGTAGGGAACGCTAGCCCAGAGAAAATACCTCCCTAGAGTATCGAGTGGAAGGGGCCATTACCCCTGTGTGTCAGGAACTGTTATCGTTATTGTTCTAATAAACGTGTTGCCCCTAGAGACGCCTCTCTCTCTCTCCATTTATACCCACTACAACTGGTGATAGAAATGGGCAAATAGTTAGCTAGCATGGAGACGAGAAGAAAAATTCGTTCGAGGGCTCCGGACGAAGAAGACAATGAAACAACAGCCCCGGGGTTGACAGCCCCGGGGTTCACCACCGTCGGGGAAGGTGCTTCGGGTGGCACACTCCGGCCTTGACGAACTCCTGCATGCCGCGGCCTCCATCCTCGACGAGATTCATCACGGGGAGCCGACGGCAGAGGAGGGGGGAGCAAACCTGCAGGGAGCTGCAGTTCCTGCCACCGCTTCTACAGTTCCCGCCCAAGAATTTGAAACTCCCATCAAAGGTGGGGGAGCTTCCGCCCGAAGCCACAAGCACCATGGGACCTACGGAGCATCCGGCCACAGTCCCCGCCAATTAGGGATCGCCGCATCATCTACAGCGCAACTGGTGCAAGAGGCTGCCATCTTTCCTGCGGACGGTGGCGCAGTTCCCGCCAAGAACGAAGAGGAGCAGCTGCCAGCGGGATGCGTGCCATCAATTCAGCAATGCTTGCCCATCCTCAAGGAGTTTTCCGCGCCGGGAGGTGACTGGGCGGCTTTTCAAAGACGCTTCCTCTCTAACTGTGAGATGGCAGGGTGGACGGAGGCGGAGGCGCTACGAGCGCTCCCGATCGCCTTGGACGACGACGCTCTGGCCGCCCTCATCACCATTCTGCGGGCAGATCGCTCAACGTTGTAGCAGGTGCTGCAACAGATGGCTGCAATTTCCAGACCAATGTCAGACACACGCCACCGTTTTGCTGCACCGAGGAAGGGTGAGTCCGAAACTCCCCTCGCCTTCCGCAGCGCGTTATTGGCTTTGGCGAAAGCCGCTATATAGACCACGAGGGCATTGGCGCTCTCGTCTTGAAGAAAATGCTGGCGCTGGCACGGGAATTGTGTGTGGTTATACACGCTGTGGACGACGGGGACCTGTGCTCCCTGCGCGCCGCTAAATGCACCCAGGCACACTTGCTCTTCCAGCGGGAGACAGGTCTGGCAGCCTGTGTTGCGCCGGCTGAAACTTGCAGTTTGTCGGAGGTGTCTCAACTCAACCAGGCCTTTGCGTCAACCCAAGCCAGGGGTTGGAGGGCCGACAATCGGTCGTGACAGGGGGACTTCCGACAGCGGGGACAGGCATCTGCGCGATCGGACAGAGTCCTCGTCACTTGCTACAACTGCGGACTGCGGGGGCACGTGTCCATCGGGCTACCGGGTGCCTCGAGGGTGCGTTCCTGGACTTCAGCCATCAGCCCTCGCTCATCTTCGGCTCCGCAGCAACCTCAGGTGAGTCGCGGCACCACGCACACAGAGTTTTTGCCGCGGCCACGGGGTCCTGCGCCATTATTGGATCTATCGAGGCGCTCGCTTTTCAAATGCTGGTCGACATGGGGGCGTCAGCAACTATAATTTTGGACCTTATTTACAACATTTTGCCAAAGAAATGTCGTTCCCTATACCCCGTTGAGGTGCCATGTTTCACTGCTAATGGAGGGTCATTGGGCATAGTTGGCCAGATTAATGCCCAGATTTGTATTGGTAATGTAAAATTGACAGGCCCCATTCCAGTCTTTTCATCCTTTGCCGTTCCGTGCTTACTGGGAACTGATTTCTTAGGTAAAATGGCTATTAAAATTTTGATCGACCAGGGTTGCATCGAACTCCCCTCCGGCTGGCGTATGTCATTCCTGCCGTCCCCCACTCGGTTGCGCATGGCCTCCGCTACCATGCAGGAGTTGGCATCCCGGACGGTGCGCATTCCTCCCGGGTGCGCAAATGCTAGTTCTCCTTCGGCTACGTAAACCACTCGATTCAAGGGTGACGGCAGGGGGTATCCTGTTGGGTCCGTCGAATACTGTGGTGCGTGGATTGGAGCTGGTCAGGGCACAGACTCTGGTATCTAGCAATAGGGATCCCTTCATCCAGGTCTTGAATGCCGGGTTGCGGACGACTGTCATCCCGCAGGGTACCGTGCTCGCTCAGACGATGCCAGCGCTCCAGGGGGATTCGGTGGTGGGCCATGTTGGAGCTTTACCTCAGTCGCAACCATACTCTGACCTCGATGAACGGTGGTTGGATTCACTTTGCTCGGCGGCTGGCAACCTGTCTTATTCCCAAAGGGGTAAATTGCGCACTATTACGGGAATTTACCAACGTTTTTAGTAAAAGTAAATTTGACATTGGCCGCACTAAATTACTGAGCCATCACATTGACATGGGGGACGCCGCTCCCATCCAGCAGAACCCGTATCGCTTGAGCCCGGCTGAAAAAAAGCATGTCCGGTTGGCCGTCAATGACATGCTAGCCGTGGACATAATTTTTCCATCCACCAGCACATGGGGGGCCCCAATTGGTCTTGTTAAAAAACATGATGGCAGCTTAAGATTTTGCATAGATTTCCGTAAGCGTAATAAAAATTTCAGTGGCAGACGCGTATCCCCTTCCTCGAATGGACGAATCACTGGACGCCTTAGCGGGGGCACGTTATTCTTCAACATTGGACCTTTTGTCCAGATTTTGGCAATTGCCCCTGGACGAGGCCTCAATACCTAAAACCGTCTTCCGTACGCCGCAGGGCCTTTTTAATTTAATCGGCTACCCATGGGTCTCCACTCGGCTCCAGCGACGTTCCAACATTTGATTTGGAATTGGTCCTCGCTGGGCTTCAGTGGGACTCATGCCTGATATATTTGGACGATGTCATTGTCTTTAGCCGCACATTTGAGGAACACCTGGAGGGCTGTCTTTGTTAAAATGTGAGCAGCGAACCTTAAATTCAAGCCCCAAAAATGCCACCTCTTGCGGGAATCCGTGCGCTACCTTGGCCATATTGTCAGCCAGTCAGGCATTGCCACTGACCCGGAAAAGACAAGTTGTTTTTGCGCATGGCCGATCCCCACATCAGTGGGGGAGGTGCGAAGCTTCATCGGGTTTGCATAATATCGCTTTGTGGTAGGGTTTGCTTCCATCACCAAGCCCCTCCATGCGCTGATGGCCAAGGGGCAAAAATTCCATTGGGGGGAGGCGGAGGAGGCCGCGTTTAACTCGCTTTGCGACACCTTGGTAAATGCCCCTCCCCTACGCTACCCCAATTTTTCCGTGCCGTTCATTCTCGACATGGATGCCAGCAACACCGGCATTGACGGGGTATTGTTGCAGGTCATCGACGGGGTCGAATGCGTTGTTACATATGGCAGCAGAGTGTCTCAGGCAGAGCAACGCTATTGCATTACTCGCCGTGTGCTGCTAGCCATCGTCTTTTTCGTTCAACAATATTGGCCATATCTGTATAGCAGACACTTCCCCGTGTAGTTGGATCACGCGACACAGCAGTACGCGTTACGGGTTGACCAGCCATCCGGCCAACTCTCTCGCTGGCTCAAGGTCTTCCAGGACTATTTGTTTACGGTTACCTACTGTAAGGGCACCAAACACTCTAATGCCGACGCTTTGTCACGGTTGCCAACGAGCGACAAATGTGCGCGTTTCCTGATCTCGGGGTGATGCAAACGGCCGGTTGACAGCTCGCCCCCGCCCCTCGCTGCATTGGCAGAAGTGGTTCCCTCTAAGGTGGGTTCGTCAGTAGAGGCTCACAGGGCAGTTGCACGGGATGCAATGGTTGGCCTGAACCTCGCAAATTGGGGATGCCTCCAAATGGAGGATAGTTCCCTCGTCAGGTTGCGCCGCCGCGCCGGGCGGTCTGATGGGGTTAAGGGCTGCGAGGGCTTC